CCTTTAGAATAACCTCTAAACAACAATATGTTAAGAATATTGTATTTATTCCAGTTAATTATTGTGATTGAAAAGCCTAAGGAGGCTGGTAAACATTGCAAAGAGGGATTTGTATTCCTTAACCTGTTAAGCCCGAGAGACCCCGGTACCGGGGCACTGCCGCAACATCTTGCAGGAAAGTGTCTGAGGGCATGTTAATTTAATAAACTATGAATGTTTTATATCCATGTAACGGGAAGAAACTCATCTAACTGATCATTTTTATTTTTTTTTCAAAGAAAACCCACAATGCTAACACTGAGCCTCTGAATTAGCAACGAGTGAAAAATGCTAACAGATTACTGCACCGAAAATCACTCACAAAACCTTATTATTTATCTTTTCTCTACATCCATGACATCGATTCACATCGTGAGGTGACACAGAATCGATGGGTACCCTCATTATCACTGAATTATACGAATTTGCGACGTTATAAACAAAAACAGATATCAAAACAGGTGACGCTAGGTAGCTAAAAATGCTAACATTTTTACCGTGGCTCTGTAGTCTCTCCAAAGTGGTCTTCAATGGCATTAAAACGATAAAAACGCTGCTGAAGTTAATCCATAGGTTAATCCAATGTGTCTGTGTCTCTTTGAAATTATTTCTGATAATCCATGAGCAATAAAACGGATAATCCATGCTTTTCCGTTTCTAGATGTCAGAGCTAGACTGTATCTTCACTCTAATGCAAAATTACATGCGCAAAGCCCCACCTTTTTGTTTCACAATGAGGTGTTGTGGGGTGACTCCCCCTTCGATTCTATTGGCTCTAACGGTCAGAAAGAGGTGTCAACCATCAAATGGACCAATGGGTTCCAGAGATATGAAAAAAAAAACAATTTCCACCCAAATCACCTCAGAGGTGGAGTGTTTTTGGCTAAACCTCTCTAAAAAGGTCAAATGTCACTTGTTTTGCATCAATCTTGATACAGGGTACTTATTATATGTTGTACTTTGGATTCCCTAAAGCTTTTAGTCTACCTTACCATCATCCAGGGTAGTTTTCACTATAAGTAAAAAAGAATGTTTGGACGGACACTATAATTTACAGTTTTTTACTATGTAAATCTGAATTTCTTTAAAATAAAAAACATCTATATTGATTCTGACTTTTCTAACAATCCAACTCACAGGTTTATCATTACTTTGAGATAAAAGATTATTAATTTAACCCTTTTAGAAGGAAGATATGGTCATTTGTTCTGGGAATGTCATTTTCGAGCCTAAAACCTGAAAAACAGGCTCAGGGCTTAACAGGTTAATAATATTCGTAAACTTAACCATGTTGTAGCCTGAGAAAGGCTAAACCGTATCAAAGAATACATTTATTAACTACATTATCTCATTTAGCTGTAGCTTTTATAAACAAAACAAAAGACGTATTGACCAGTCGTTGAACCAGGGACCCTGCGGTTGATTGTCAACTGCTTTCCAGCTGAGCCCCGCACACATACTGAATCCATCTGAAAAACGGAATACGATTTATTCCTGTATTTATTCATTTATTGATGTTTTTATTCCTACATTTATTTATGTCTTTTATTTATATTATACTTATGACATGTTCCGACCTCTATATAAGTGAGGGTCTGAGCTCTCTTAATTCCATCGTGTCACCGGGCCCGGGTACAGGAAGGGTAATATATCGTTCTTATTATACATCCATGGGTAATATGAGGGTTGTGGTTCAACCGATTCTAAAGCACTTTCTGAAGCAGTCACGTGGTATTGAGGGGCAGCGAGGCTTCGTTTGTCATCGGTGACGTCACTGGCCCAAAACGATACAAGCCTCGATACAAAGCTTCACAAAAAGCTTCGGGGATTACTCGACACACGCTCCGAAGCCTCGGCGCAATACGTAACATCACTAGCTTTAAGTAAAACCATGAACATTTTTTATTAGGTCGATTAATGTTATCTAAATGCTGAATGTGTTGTCAAGTTAGTGAAGATGTTTCTTCATTTGCTTCTGTTTTGGCAAAAAATTATTTGGATGGTTTTTGAAACTGCATTGGATTCTCCCAATGGAAACGTTTTGGGCCGTTGCAGGGACTTTGCACCTGTCGCCACTGTAAAATACAAATTTGGTCACATAGCTAAAAAAAAGAACTCATCAACTTAAAGAATGTAGATTTCAAATGTGTTACTGTTACATAATTTCTGCAACGATAACTGAACTCAGGGAACCATGACCAAAACACCTGGAAACTTGAGCAGACTTAAGATTATTGAAAGTTACTAAGTCTCGACAGCCCACACTTCAGTGAATTCCCACTGATATATTAGTCTTCACAGCCAGAGAGAAGTGAACTAAGGACAGCACACTGGAGAGGTGCATTGTAGAGGTTACTGGAACAAGTGATACATCAACTGTTCTATAAACAGAATTACACATTGAGCATTTTGGGGATTCACACTGCTGTTAAAGGTGGCCCCTATTATACTCATATTCAGGTTCATATTAGTATTCAGTGTCTCGACTGTGACATGTCTCTTTAATGTTCAAAAAAGCTCTTTATTTTTCTCATACTGCCTGTGCTGCAGCACCCTCTTTTCACCCTCCTGTCTGAAACCAGACAGGTTAGGGTTAGGGTTTCGCTGGCCGGCTCTGTTCTGATTGTGTCAACCGCTTAGGGCTGTCTCGCCCCTTAGCCTATTGGAGTGCTGGCCCACATTTTCAATTTGTCAGTGATTCAAATTGGTCTGGTATTGAGCTCATTCATGTTATTTATTTTTCTGATTTGAGAAAACATTTGTCTATTCAGTTGAACCAATCATTTATGTTGAGAGGGGGGAATCTTTGTTAACAAAATACCAACGTAAAATGGCTACATATATAGGTCTACATAAATAATAAGAGGCTGTCTCTGATATAATCTTGCTTCATATAGAGTAATAACTGTGAGGAAGTGCAAATGTTACTTTGCGTCATTGACTAATGGCACACTGAAAGTGCCTGACTAATGACTAAACTAACCTGACGGAACTTTAGGCTGTTGTTTCCATCTCCGGTTTGTTATATAACCACACAGATAGTTTTCTCTTTGTATCCATTTCAAAGTGTCTGGATATAGACAGAGTATAAGAAGGCAGTTGAATTAAAAAGGGGCCAGTGATGGACAGCTTGGTCAACAGGGATTGAAACAAGAGGAGGAGGAATGCGTGCCGTCAGCAGCGCTGTGTACAGACCTGTCATTCTGCCAACCAATCCTGAACATCACATGGAAAACAAACAGGAACCCTTCACATCTATTTAGACAGTGATACATTGATGCAGTAATAGCCAGCATAGATGCAAATGAGTTTACACCCGTCCAAAATGTAAATCAATTTATGCCCTTCATTCTTCCGTTTCAATGAATGCCTCGTTTTATCTTTAATTTTGGCATTTTTAGTTTAATCTGAGGAAAAGGTGTGTCCCTTACAAAGTATCAATACAACTCATGTCAGAGGTCAGAAGTGATTGAGCAAACATTTATAAGATCTAGTTAAACACCTTGAGATGTATTATCTTTTTTTTTCATAGATTCTATCATAAAATGTATTAAACTATTGAGTCAGATTCAGTAATTGAATGACTTAAAACACATGGAATGTATTTCCAGAAAAACAATCAAACATTGAATTGGGCTTACTAAAGACATAGAAGGAATCCAAGCTGAAGGCGCCCTGAAAATAAAAGCTCTTTCTTAAGAGACACATGGGACAATTCCTTGTGGCTGAGGTTGATACCAAACAAAGCATTGGCTCGTATGAAAGGCAAGAGCTTAAGCGTAGTACAATGGAGCATACAAACAGAAACATCCCAATAGGCATCTGCAGAGCTTTATATAGATGACACCGAGAGAATGGAGAATGCTTTTAGAAGAATTTGTTTAAAATGTCAGCATAGTCTTGCATTGGTAAAATAAATTGTAAAGAATCTAATCTGACACTACATGTCAGCACGTCTGGAACAATAAAGAACACATTTATAGTGCACCTAATGTGTGATAGAAATCACTTCAGTGTCAATCTATAAACCCCAATATTTGATTTAACTCCCTGGAGAGATATGCAACATTACAAGCTAAATCCATAGCGTAGGATTTGTGAATAAGGCTCATTTGCAGGAGGATCGAACTAACCAAATCAACTAAAATAATCATTTAATTCGTCAAGAAGTCGACAAGCCCCTGCCCCGGCGCTGTGCCCCCCCCCCCGAGGGAGAGCATGCTGCACCGTCAGAGGATCTTATGGTTGAGGAGTTTGCAGGTGCAGCTTGGATCTTTATAATTGTATTTTAATTAAAATACACACAAAGTGTTTTTGGACGAAACATGTAGCAAAACCATAGTGCTTCAGCTCTATATTATTGTTTGATTTCAATGACTGTAATTTTGTAACTCAGAGATGTTTAAAGAAGAAAAATACTTTTTTGTAGGGCAGCCCATGCTGAGTACTTACATTTTTGGTACAACTTAACCTTTAATATAATGTAACCACTTCACAATTATTCTTCACATAATCTGCACTACCACTGTACCAACATACACACTCACAAACACACAACATTGCAAAATGACATTCTAGTCAGTCCTAAAGTTCATGGTATGAACTGTTTTGTTCGCTCCTCATTGTCTGTTTTGTTTTGTCTGTCCACCATGTACAGCGACCTTGGGTCCCGTGAAAGGTGCTTTATAAATTCCATTTATTATTATTATGAGAACAAAGTTGAAAAGTGAAGCGCCTATTGTTCCTGATGGCACCTTGTGCGGCCACCTCTGCCATAAGTGTGTGACAGTGTGTGTGAAAGTGTGAATGTTGCTTTTTAAAGCACTATACGAATGAAGTTCATTTACCATCATTTCAGGGAATAAAATGATTTAGTTTCCACACTTAAAACCAAATGACTGTAAATCATCACAAACAGTGTGCAATATTCTCCGCCTGTTTCTGTGTGGTGTGGTTCTCACCTGTTTGTAGGAGACGTAGATGGGTCTGCTGAAGATGATCCACTCCACCACCTTGCTGCAGGGCGGAGTGGTCAGAGAGCCGGTGTAGCGGTAGTAACTTCCCAGGGCGGAGGGCAGCAGGTCCTTCAGCACAAAGGGCTCCAGGACAGTTTCTTTTTCTATAAGAGAGAGGTCAGGAGATCAATACAACAGGACCTACACTCTATTTCACTTCAACCCACAGAGGGCAGACGATCTGGAGCAGATCCAAGTGCTACTGTTTAACAGCCGTTAGGTTTAAGCTATTGATTTCATTTACATTGTCCCTGCCTTGTTCAGTGTCCCCCTATTGACAGACATAATTGCGCTGAACACCTCTAATTATACCTCTGTCGTTGTTGGAAGGCATATACAATACGATCAAGGCTGTAACGCTACATCCCCAAAACCAAATGTTGACACAGTGGAATTATTCAACGCCTCACACGGTAAATATAAGGCTGTTATAAAGACTTCAAGCTAGAGACTCTGTTCCTTGTATGAATGCATTACACTTCCAAAGAGGGAAATCAGAGGAAAGGGAGCAAAACAATTACAGTGATCTGACATTTACTGAGCAGTAGAACAGTGGGCCATGAGCCTCCACTCACCTCAGAAGAGATCTGAATTGGTGTTATGTTGGAAATAGTTTAATAAAAATCCTCATTAGTGTACATACAAAGATACAGTTACCAACCCGTTTGTGCATTAAGCCAAGTTAAAGTAACCCAAATCACAATCACAAACAAAAGGGAGGATTGGAGTTCAGCTCACATTCTGCACCCGTTGGTTTCAGGTGTGAAGGGTCTTCACTATGTGGATACAGACTGGATCTGGGTCTCAGTTTTAGCAGAACTCACAGTCAAATAAAAAGACTGAAAATGTTAATGTGACAAAATTAGTATAATGTCTCAACATAGAAACCTCGAGATGAGGCTGTGTCCATGAATAAATATCCAAAAGACTAAAAGACTGGGAAACACTAACAGCAATATGTTATTCCTGGATGGCATTTGTAATGGCAATATACAGTATGTGTCATGTTTCTGGACAACTGAGAAATAGTCCAATATTCACTCTGATGCTTTGAGGAGAGCATGTGGCTCTGAAGCTGCTAATGCTTCCACTGTGATGAGCTGCTCACGTCATGCGTCTGCTGTTTGGGGCAGAACTGACGTTTTAAGCTGAAAGAAACCCCTCAGAGCAACCACACAGTCATTTTGATTAATTGAGAGAAAATGGAATAGTGCAGCTTTGAATTATGAAATTGTGAAAGGCAATACAAAGAGGTTCTATTGAGAGAACGCTGCAGCGCTGCAAAGCTGGACAGAACGCTGTCCATTAGATCCTAAAGATGTAAGACATGAACTCTTGGTGCTTTTTAAAGGAACAATTTTGATGACCTATTGCTACGTTTGGGAAAATCGTCACTGTTAAGACCGACTATCTGCTACTCAGTTGTTGCTGCAGTATTTTTCATGTCTGTAATGACAGAAAATGAATAAAAAAGACTTTCATCATTTTCATCAACACATCATTCATATGCCTTAGACCACTCTTTGGAGAAGAGGAGAGGAAGTAGAGTGTGACGGGGGGAGGGGGAGCTGTCATCAGAGGAGAGAAGGAGGAAGTGAATGGGAAGAAGGGGGGTCGAAAATAGAAGAATAACAAGCTAATGGAGAGAAATTATGAAAAGAGATAAGATGAGGGGGAGGATTTAGATCTACAGTTTCAATGAAACCATGTGAGGAGGGAGGGTGACAGGAAGGATGAGGAAGTGTAGGGCGGGTGATGCGTGCAGCAGGGCGGGTCATCTGACAGGTATGGAGAGGGGAAGAGGGGGGGGTGCAATATCTTCATCAGCGACAGATGATGAAGACATTGCACCCCACCTCTCCCTCCATCTCCCCCTTCCTCCTATTCCTCCTCTTCCTCCCACCCTCCCGCTGACAAGCCTTGTCTCCCGCTGCCTCCCTGAGTTCAGAGATGTATTTTCAGCTCTGTCGAATCCGTGCGACAGAGCGAGCCGGAGAAGGAGGAAGAGAGGGTGTTGATAGCAATGTGTGGTGGCGTGTACTGGGGGAATAGAGGATGAAGGGACAGGAATATGCAGCTAAATTAGTATTCTCAAGAACCGAACACGCACTTTGGTGTGTCTCGCTTCAAACTTAATTCAGGAAACGTCTAAACACACGAGACAAACTTCCTAGCTCTTGAATGCGCTCCATGCCAGATGCAAGCATGCATGGCTTGAAAGAGGAGATGGAGGAAGATGTGTTTGGCGAGCAGCTCGTGAAGAGACGGAATGTGGGTTCTTTTATCTTCCACCTGCACCTGGGAGCCAATGAAAGTCCAACATGAGTTGGAGCAGAGTGAGGCTGTGATCACACGGCGAGTATTTTGATATGTGAGCCTCCTGCCATGCGTCAGAAAAGCTGTCTTCTCATCTAATCGTCCATTAGCCTCCTCAGTTACTCACTAGAGTATTCATATGTAATGCCACAGCTATGGTAAAGCAAACACATCTAGCACAAAGTCACATATTAGAGGAACCCAAAGTCTGCTTGTCTGTGAGTGGTATTTGGTGTCAGAGCTAAATTGTTGCAATAATATTAAGTTGAACCTATTATTTTGTATTTAAACGTAATATTATTGCTTTCAACTAACCTAATACAGTTAAATCTGAAATAATACATTTAATTAAAGTCAATGTTTCAGTTTTTTCAGTGTACTGCAATGTCACCGTCGAGCTTGATCAGAAGCGATAGAGACAACAACTTTAGCGATTCAAGCTGCACATTAGATTGCTAATTTAATTGCTGCAAGTGAAGTTTCATCATGTTGTTGTGTTTAGAATATTATTCACGTTTTGGTTATTAAATGCCACTCTTGGTTTGACTGCACTGCAACAAGCCTCCTTACTTATATGACATAACAGTATGGAAATGACCCACATTTCTGATCCAACATGCCTCTCATCAACAACAAAGCGTTTATTTACTCAGGGTCCAGTTCCTAGCTTTTTCTGGAGCACATCAGTCACATCTGACTTGGTATAATATTTGCAACTAGTGTCTTTCTAACAGTCAATTCTGACATGACCGACATAAGTTCTTTACTAAAGTCACCTAACAGCATTAGTGGTAAGTTCTCCTGAGAAAATAAATAGAAAGAGGAGTTGGAGTAGAATAGATATTCCAATTCATACCGTATCAACCTAGCAGGATGGTCATTACAGCGGTCATGTTTATGTTTACCCCTGCCATTGAGACTTGTAGCAATATGATTTTAGTGGGTGCTAGCTTCCCTTTAGGCGAGTGTTGACGAATTGAGGTGGAGTTTTGTATTCACAACTTAGGCGAGCAGTGGGAGGAGTGAGGGGTCAAAGCAAAGAGAGCCAGAGGACATGGGTAAAATAACCATCCATAGTGTGGGAACGCACATCGCTCCTGCCAGATGAGTAACACCTTCTCCAGCTTGCTGATTCCACCATGCTTTATTGACACAGGTTTGAGTAAAATGGCTAGTGGTCGCTCCAGTGCTGTGTCCTCTCTTCCCAGTGAGCTGTGACCTCACTAATCGAGAGTTTCACTTTATCTACTTACAAAAATGATTTAAGCATTCAAAGAAATTACTATTGTAGTGCTTGTTTTTTTTCGGGCAAACTCAGTAACCACTTGTCTCAAAAATCACATGATGTCACTATTTGATGGATGTCATAGATATTGATAAGAGCAATGCAAATCACAACATTAACCATAAACTGTGGGTGAAAGCAATACAACATATAGTAGTCTGCTAGTTGTAATGGATGAGAGATGGACTGAAGTCAATGTGACTGCACCTAAGGTCCACACTGGAGTGACTGGACGAGTTTGGACTAATAAGCCATGCCGATGTCCATCTGTTCTAAAGGGGAATTGAACATGGTCAGATGTTGTGGGTTGTCAAGCAGGAAATAGTTTGTGATCTTCAATGTTACATTTGAATTGAAATAGATGAAGCGAGCCACAAAAGAGTGAGATCGGTTGTGTGGGATAATTTCCAGGTTCTTCAGTATGCAAATTATTATAGAATCCTGTATATAGAATATAACATGGCCAGGGTGGCGACTAGACTGTGCAGTTCTTACATCAGTGTATTGCAGTGGAAGTCGTTTATCTGGAAAGTAATAGTTATAGCCATAACGGGAAAATGTTGTTGAAAAGCTTTTGTTGTCGCTCCTGAATACAAGGGCAGGAAATCCAATTGTCAGACGGCTGAAGGAAAGCAGATTGTTTTTTGAAGACAAACACAGATACAGCCAGTAAGTAGCCAACCCGAGGCTTTGCTTTTTTCTACAGAAAATGAACATCATTTAACATGTCTGGGAACATGATGACTTTTTTATCACAGTTTTATTGAATCCGTTTTTTTATTCTTGAGCCAGTGCCTGATTTGACACATTGGATAAAGAAAATGAACGGTGCTGGGACTGAAGGACCAACCAATAAATCATTAATACTAATAAAACATATAAAATATAAATGTATTTGATTCTACAAAATGTCTTTTAAAATGTCTTCATAGAATTAAAGACAAATATGTTCTCCATCTGAGAACAATTTTACATAAACTCTTACGATACTGATGTCAGACTCAGATAAGACAACAGACTGTTCAGCCCAGTATCGGAGAAGTGATTATTGGATGGATAATACTGCAGGAAAGGTTTGACCGTTAAGTACCGTCATGTACAATAGAGGTGTAAGTAACATGTGTGGACATTGAGGTGATGTGTAGTTATTGTTTTTAGTATGCATACAATGTTTATGCAGGAGAGAGTTTTTCTGTCTACCACTGGGCCCAGACTTCAATCTCTCTTCAACTGTGAATGGATGAGCTTGGAATTGTGTACATGTGTATGCATGATCCCCACAATTCTAAATATGGGTCAGTATTCAAAAGAGGACTAGATCCTAGATGAAAAGCCTTCTTCAGATTTTAGAGTGCGTGATGTCACAGCTAGAGTGGAGGACAGATTTAATTTTGCCTTCATATTTTCTTTTAAACCTGCCATAATTCCCAAACCCTACATTCCTGAGACATAATCTTTCATGACAAACGTAGGAAAACATCTCGTAGCTTGAAAGATAAAAAG